TTTCCTTCTTTACTTAAGAACAAATTAAATACTTCACAACAAATAGCAGTTAAAAATAAAACCTCCGAAAATTTCAACAAAAAGTGGAAAGACTTTATTCGTGTTTTTTTTTTTTATTATTATTTTACTTACTTAGTTAAGTTATTAATTAATTTAATTACTTCTTAATTTGGTAATTGTTTCCTACTCAAAATGTTGTACTTTGAATTAGTTTGTAATTCTCTTCTTTTTTGTATTGTTTTTTGTATCACACACCATTACCTTCTGTATTATCTCTTGTATCTCCTTTAATTGTCCTATTGTAGTTCATGTTGTATCAATAATAATAATAAAATAAAAAGAATAGCGTCTCCGTTTCTTGGGTTCTCCACACGTATGACATTGTTGAGTTCATCTCACGTTAATTGCGTCCTATTTCCGTGTTAACTAAACGCATTATGAAAACGCTTTATTCCCAGTGTTCTTAGGTAAATACGGCCAACATGCCTACCATTTATGAAAAAATTCAACTTAATCGCATGTATCACGTGTATCACGTGGGATACAACAGCGGCAAATCGATCCAGCTGGCGACAGTCCATTTCCACCGGGACTGCCATGTTTGAAGCGGAATGGAGACGCAAAGCCGTAGAGAAACATGAAGAACAAAAACGTCGCCTTGCAGCCCCTCGTCCACCGCCCACCCTCCCGTGCCCTTACTGCCCTCGCATATTCTATGAGAGGATTGGCCTACTATGCCATCAAGGAAGAGGAGACCGTACTGTTAGACGGAATTGATGCTAGGACACCAGCCGACGCCGAAGACGTCCCTATGACAACGATTACGTATTTCTTGAAAATCGTATAGCCTTCGTAGCAGTTGTTTCCTATTCGAAAACACGAGCAGCTTGTGAACGATTAGGGCACGAGGTAAACAAGAAAAAAACGTTTTGGGGAGTGGGGTAGATCTCCAATTCAGTCTAGTGGGTTTGTTTTGTGCGTCTCGTATTATTCGTCTAAGAAGTATAACGTGTCCGTTTTAAGAGTCTTCCAGACGCATGACATTGTTGAGTTCGTCTGACGTTTAATGCGTCCTATTTCCATATTTACTAAACGCATTGGACGTCTGGGACGCATTTTTAGTCTTTCTAGGTAAATACGGCCAATGCGCCTATGCGGTATTTTTTAAAATTTTATATGTGGAGGCGGCTTAGTTAGGGAGGTCTCGGTTTTAAATCTTCCTCCCTGCCACTAGATGCACTTGTGTTCNCCTATGCGGTATTTTTTAAAATTTTATATGTGGAGGCGGCTTAGTTAGGGAGGTCTCGGTTTTAAATCTTCCTCCCTGCCACTAGATGCACTTGTGTTCGGTGGTCCTGAACTCAAATTCTCCACATCTTGTAAATGGCCAACTGTTATGGTCAGCCTCCAATAATGGTAAAACAAACTACTCTTCTTTTACTGTGACTCTGGAATTACGGAGAACTCAAAGTCCCTACGAAAGAAGGAGACAGGAGGTAACTCCGCATGCATGTTGACGGCTAATGTTAGCTCAAGACTAAGCCTGCTGGCGGTTATGTTATTAGAGGTCTGCTTATGTCTTACCTTGATTAAAATCTGCTTACCGGGTTATGACCTCTGTTTTGAGAAATAGAGTCTGATCTACGCTGACTGGCATGAAATTACATTCCAGACATTAAATGAAACGTCTTTCTCTACTGGTCTGTTGAAAATGTGCAATTTTGCATAAATTCCATCGGCCATCCTGGTTGATTGAGCGGTATTTCGAACTTTCCTAGATTTCACAAAAATGTGATGTCGCTGGAACTTTGAAAGTGTATTTCTGGAAATACTTCACCAAAAGGGTCTTTTGACGCAATAAAAGAAAATCCGAATTTTCCGACCTGTCGTTGGATTCTCCATATTTACTGGCAGTGGCTCTTAAAGGCTCAGCACATACCATCACGGAACCAGTTACGAAACGATTTCATATCACACAGACGTGAAGTTCTACTGTTATAAAGCGTTGCCTATCGTTTTAATTCTTCAAAGCACGGCACAGTTTGTGGATTTTGCTGCTTTGTTGGTGTTGTGTGTAACAGGGGACTCACTGGAAACCACTACCAGCCCTCAAGAACAAAATACCGGCGATAGCAACGACTTATGTGATGTACAAAGTTGAATATCAATTGTCTCTTTTAAGGAAAATCGATCTGTTAAATATGAGATATGAAGATATTTTGCATGATTTCTAGTAGTTCTCTTTTCTGGCAGTTCAGTTTCGGATTGAAACACAAAAGGCTTATGTTCCTAGTCCGAAATCAAGGCTGAACTCTCAAATAAGAAGTTAGCCAGAAGGATATCAGAGTGTTTGCTTACTAAGTCTTAGTAAATTCTCTCAAGGAATGTTAATGATGTCATGTTACTCTCGGTAAGAGTCGGCTTCCCAAGTGAAACACCTCAATGTTATGTAAGAATTTGTGAAAGATATTTGACCTGATTAAGAGAGGTGCATGGGGACACTTACTATGTCTGACACAGATATCGAGAACGAAACTATATTCCCTAGATTGAAGGGAAGATTTTTCTTGTCAAACATGGCATACCTACAAGGCGACATAGCGGACCGCCAGGAATGATGGGAATAAAAGGAGCGCGTGAAATTGTGGGAGATCAAGGAATAAAAGGCGTTAAGGGAGAGAAAAGAGACAGCGTGACAAATCCTTCTAGTGCAGTGGCACAAACCAACTGGAAACAACATGTGTGGACAAATGTGAATGATAATCAAGATAACGGTAAGATCACGGTAAGAGAGAAATGTTCTGATTAGAAATGGTTACGAACAAAATAATTCGACGAGGGTTCCTTTGAATAAAAATTAGGGCTCTGGTTTTGTACGTTTGCTGGATGGGTCCTTGATTCAACTCACTTTAGGGGCTGAAAAGTTTCATCTATAATTAAATTTGGGAGGGGAACCGTTCTACTGTATTCATCTTGTAGGTAGTCTGTAATTTAGCAGGGCGGGGTTAGGGTAGGTAGCAGTTTTGTATTTTTTTTTTTCTCGAATAGAGCGAGAAGGGAGATTGATATCACGGACGCTTAGTAAGGCCTATGTATTATTAGTAAGTTGGAGGAAAACATCGTATCTGATTGACGGAGGTCTTGTTTTAAGTAAACTTGGAGGTAACGCATTGAAACTATTGAATGAGAAGATTTTACAATTTTCTGATGGCATCTGATATATTTTGGAGGGTTGGATGGAGGTAATACAGCTAGATGACGAAAATTCTATTATTTCTGTGAAGCGACGGACTTGCTTCAACCTGCTTCTTCTTAGTTTAATCCTTCTCCAAAGCTCACTTTCGTAGATCAACCAATCATGACCAACTGATGGGGGATATTTTGGAGGAACTCAACCATGTCTTCTAACTCTTGAAAAAATATCACCAAAAATAAAGCAGTCTAGTTTTTCGTTTTGTCATTTTAGAAATGACTGGACACCTTTGCAAAGACCAGGGACCAGATGCTCGAAGCCCTGCTAGGTTAAGATGTATTCTAGTTATTATTCTAATGCAAATAAGAAGCTTATCGTTAAGAAAAAATATCTGGGATATAATTTATCTTATCTTCCAAATCCGGCACCTACAAGAAGATAAAACAAATTGTCAATTTATCAAGTACTGCTCATTGCTTACACCACAAATATAAGAAAAACATTGCAGATGGAGCAGAAACACGCGTAAAGAATCCTAACTGGTTGAACAGCTGGCCATTCATGAATTTTGGTCGTTCACTATGACGTCAACACTTCATCATGAGTATTAATGGTATATATTTCATCAATATAATATCATTTGATATGAGCAATGACTTGTTTCTCTTTGTTTCATTCCAGGACTGCTCGTTTAACAAGCTGCAGTCTAATAGAGCGATCCAAGTCCCATTCCAGGGAAGTATGGCAGTCTATTCGACCGTAGAGCGTAAATTTTTTTCTTTCGGATCCAACCACTGATGATCGGTTTTATGTTAATCTCAGTTAATGATACAAAACAAGTCAAATGTCGTAAAATTTATCGATATGAGGACTGACTATTTTTACTTTCGTTTGTTCCAGGACTGCTCGTTTAATAAGTTGCAGTCTGATACTGCGATCAAAGTCTCATTCCAGGGAAATATGACAGTCTATGGTTCTTCTCAGAAGTGTAACCGGTGGTTCTTCAAGTTTAATGGTAACGAATGCAGCGGAATGACAATCGAAGCTGTTGTGTTCAGCAGTTGGCCATCTGGTATTCCCAATCTGCTTCATCATCGATCATTTGAGGGATACTGTGAAAACATCCCACAGGGCACGGTTAGAGTAGAATTATGGGTAGGATCTTGTCCTAGCAATACTTTGGGTGACGCTTACACTGGATGGAAATCGGTGTCCCGGATAATGATTGGGGAAGTGTCTAGGTCCCACTCCTAATTAATCAATTCTCGTTATTGATATCATCACTGCTTTAGATTATGCTTATTACGCTATAGAAATTACAATTGACAGTTTATTTAACAGATGGGTTCGTTCCGACCGTCAAAACAGTCAACTGAGATTGATTAAGATTCTGCTCGGTGTACAATTTACATTTATGCGAGGCGCGGTGGCCTCATGGTTAGTGCGCTCGTCTCCGGATCGAGCGGTCCGGGTTCGAGCCCTGGC